ACAACACACACAACACACACAACACACACAACACACACAACACACACAACACACACAACACACACAACACACACAACACACACACACACACACACACACACACGCTTTCCAGACGTTATGCCCATGCTAAATTTCTACTGTTTGTGCCATTACTCTTCTAGCATCTCGGTTAAAAAAAATCCCAGAAACTAGTCCTTGGCCAACTCTGTAGTTAAACATTTTTGATAGTTCTTGCATACATTTTCATCTTTTTCATTCCACTGCTTTTCCTGCCTAATTCAAGTTCTCAGGTCTCCTTTCCTGCATTATTTCAGTAGCCTTCTAACTAATCTTCCTGCCTCCGCTCTCTTCTATTCCAGTTTGTCTTATCTTAAAGTGCAGTTTTTAATATATCACTAGCTAAATTAGAAAAACTTTTTAGAGGTTCACTATTGCCCATAACATAAAAGTTTAAATTCTATCCTGCCTTTTTTTTGTTTTTTCTTTTTAACAGCCTTTTGTAATCTCATTTTCGTTACTGGATTGTAAAGTGTTTGGAGGCTTGACAATATTTTATTTATCTTTGTATCCTGGGTATCCTCTATCTAGTTCAATACCGTATATGTAGAAGTGTTCAAACAGTATTATTTAATTGACATTAGCATGTCAGTTAAGATTGATCACTATAATAAGCAAATTGGAAATACTGTTTGATTTAAATAGAAAAGGAAAATATCATTTCTAGCTCTGATGCTTTTCTGGGAGTATTCTGTACATGATCAAGGACAAAGAACAGCCAGAACTTCCCTGAAAGCTAGAACATTTGTAAGCACAATTAGCATTCTGTTTTGTTTACTTACTAGTGAAGGACTAGCTGCATCTTATGTAATTCTTATTTCCCCAGGTCAAGGCAAAACTTAAACCAAATCCTTCAGAAAACACAGTGGGTAAAAAGCAGGAAGATACTTCTTTGATGACGTCCAGTAATCAAGAAATCACCCTTTTCTCGGGTTCTCAGCTTCCCCAACCCAACAGGCATCAAGAAATCTGGTCTATCCTAGAGAATGTTTGGATTACAATATATCAGAACAGGTACTAAATTTCTAAAAAATGTTGAATTCTAGAGTTACAAGTTTTTTTTAGGGTATTGAACAGTTAGTATTTGGGTTGTGAGTTTAATGTACCAGATTCACTTACTGAGCACCTTTTTGTCAAATTGGTTCCTTAGAAACAATGATTCTTAATGGGAGGTGCACATCAGAATTACCTGGGGAGTTTTAAGAATATATATGCCTAAGCTCTATCCCTAGATATTTTTTTTTTCTTTTTATTGTGCTTTAGGTGAAGTTTACAGAACAAATCAGTTTCTCATTAAACAATTAACACACATATTGCTTTGTGACGTTGGTTTCCAACCCCATGATGTGTCAACATTCTCCCCTTCTTGACCTGGGGTTCCCAATTTCTACTCATCCAGCTTTCCTGTCCCTTCCTGCCTCATTGTCTTTGCTTTTGGGCTGGTGTGCTCATTTAGTCTCATTATACATGGTTGAACTACATGTGTTATTGTTTGTTTTATAAGCCTGTCTAATCTTTGGCTGAAGGGTGAACTTCAGGAGTGGCTTCAGTACTGCGTTAAAAGAGTGTCCAGGGACCATACTCTTGGGGTTTTTCCAGTGTCTGTCAGACCAGTAAGTCTGGTCTTTTTTGTGAGTTAGAATTTTGTTCTACATTTTTCTCCCACTCTGTCCAGGACTTTCTGTTGTGATCCCTGTCAGAGCAGTCGGTGGTGGTAGCCAGGCACCATCTTAATTGTGCTGGACTCAGCCTGGTGGAGGCCGTGGTAGTTGTGGTCTGTTAGTTCTTTGGACTAATCTTTACATTGTATCTTTGGTTTTCTTCATTCTCTCTTGCTCCAGACAGTGTGGGACCAGTAGATGTATCATAGATGTCTGTTCACAAGCTTTTAAGAACCCAGATGCTACTCACCAAAGTAGGATGTAGAACATTTTCTCTGTAAAATGTTTTATGCCAGTTGAGCTAGATGTGCCCCGAGACCATGGTCCCCATAACCCTCAGCCCAGTAACTTAGTCTCTCAGGGAGTTTGGATATGTCTATGAAACTTCTGTGCCTTTGCCTTGTTCAAGTTGTGCTGACTTCCCCAGTATTGTGAGCTATGTTAGCCTTTATCAGAGTTACCACTTATCTATTGTCTAGTTAGTATTTTTCCCTCCCCACCCCTCCCTCCCTTGTAACCAGCAAAGATTGTTTCTTTCTGTGTGTAAACCTTTTCATGAATTTTTATAATCATGGTCTTATACAGTATTTGTCCTTTTGTCATTGACTTATTTAACTCAGCATAATGCCCTCATCCATGTTGTGAGATGTTTTGCAGATTCATCATTGTTCTTTATCATTGTGTAGTATTCCATTGTGTGTATGTACCATAGTTTATCTATTCATCTGTTGATGGACACTTAGGTTATTTCCGTTTTCTTGCTATTGTGAACAATGTTGCAGTGAGCATAGGTGTGCATATGTCTATTCGTGTGACAGCTCTTATTTCTCTAGGATATATTCCTAGGGAGTGGGATTGCTGAATCGTATGGTATTTCTGTTTTTGGCTTTTTAAGGAAGTGCCTTATCGTTTTCCAAAATGGTTGTACCATTTTGCATTCCCACCAGCAGTGCATAAGAGTTCCAATCTCCCCATAGCCTCTCCAACATTTGCTATTTTCTGTTTTTTTGATTAGTGCCAGTATATCGCTAGATATTCTGATTCAGTAGGACTGAAGTGAAACTGGGAGAATGCATTAAAAAAATCTCTCCAGATGATTCAGATGTGAAACCGTGCTTGAGAAGCATTGCCTGTATTTATCAGAACCAAGGAAAAATCACCTAGATTGTCTAAATAAACAAACAGGATACAGGGCCTTAATAAATTTAAGAATAATTTAAAAGGAAGATAAAGAAATACTTTCATTGTTTTCATGCACATAAATGTAGAATACTATAGTCTTGGTAAATGAAGAGATAGAGACCATTTTTTGAGTAGTTCTTCAAATAGACTGCCACTAGAATAGCTTAAAAATAATTTAAAACAATTTTAAAGTAGGCCAGACCCCCCCACCCCACACACACATACTTTTTCCCAAGTCCATAGTCTTTATATAACTAATTTGCCAAGCAGACTCTTTGTAGTATGATTTTGGTTCAAGGGTCCAATGTGCCTGTTTTGTATTAAGATCATCTTATCTGTTCTAGATGGTCACAAGAATAGCAGAGTAATACTAGTACTCCACTGAAACATCTATTCTGAATTGACCATCCATTACAACATTCTAGCTTTGGGACCAGTTTTTAATCCTTGGCTGTTATTTAAAAGAATTTAAAAACAAATTTGTAGCCTGTCAGGTGACTTTATAGCTTATAGTATTAAATAAATAACTGTATCTAACGTAAACCAAAGAAAACAATGTTTACAAATTGGTATTTTCATATAAAACAAAGGTTTTGTTTGTTTTATCCAGTCTTAATATTAGGTGGTGGAAAGTTACCATACGTACCAAACGGGAATTACCACTTTCAAAATAAAATAGATTGGAACTTTATCTAAGATATTTTAATCTTCCTTTCATTTAGAAAACATTTGAGTATTTTGTGTGCCTTAGAGCTAGTATGTAATATATGTGCTTTCATCTTGGTTACTAGAGAGTTCTGGGTAATTTTTGGATAACCGAATTTACATAATAGCATTTCAGTAAGTGAAAATACTTATATTTCTTTTCAATATATATTTATTGAAGGCGTACTTCACTGTTTCTCAAATTTGGCTGTGAACCAGAGGCACATGTAGAATTTTTTGCACATACTCATACTTGGGCCTTTCTTCTAGAGATGCTCATTCTGAGTTCCTGTAGGCTCGCTGCATGATTACTCATATAAAACTTCTAGAACCCTATGCACAACTGTAAATGCCACCTTCTTGTTCTGTGTTCTCTTTGTGGTTTAATAATCAGTTATGAACTTCTAACACATCAGAACAGATTTTTGGTGTCTTTTCTATTTATAAGGCATTCGGGTGAGAGGTTGAGACTATTAATGATGAAAGTTTGAAGAAAAATCTTTCCTGCTATTTCTCATTAAAGCTTCTTAGACATTTTCTTTCAAATGTATTCTGAGTTTGGAAGGTAAACAATAGTAAAACAAAATGCCATACATTTTGCTATTACTTTTCTCTGTAATTAAGAATTTTATTAATATCATGAAGGCAAAATAAATTAATAGGTAATGGCAATTTATTGACTGGTAATTTATAAATTCACTAATAACTAATTTAATAACTTATTTAATAATGTAGACTTTAATGAGCCTGAGAATAGATTGCAACTATCATTTATAACTCTGATTTGAAATGTTTGTATTCAGTAAAACCTCAATATTTTTAGTGACTGACTTTTTATAATAAAGTAAACGTAACATATAAAAATCTATATTAATAATATTGATTCGATCTATTTTTGTATATTGTTATTATTCTATTTTGTGTAAAAAATAATTTGAACAAAAAGATTCTGCTCTTGAAAAATTTGCAAACCATGGTTCCTATAACACATAAAGACAGTAACTTTGGGCAAATCATCTATGTAATCATTTTTGAAACTCAGTTTGTTCATCTAAAATCAGAGAATTGGGTTAGATTATCTTTAAGGTTCCTGCATATTCAGAATATTCTGCGAGTCTATGTTGGATTTTAGACAATTTGTTGTTATTGTTGTTAGGTGCCATTGAGTCGGTTCCAACTCACATCAACCCTGTGTACTACAGAAAGAAACACTGCCCGGTCCTGCGCCATCCTCACAACTGTTGTTATGCTTGAGCCCATTGTTGCAGCCACTGTGTCAGTCCATCTTGTTGAGGGTCTTCCTCTTTTTCATTGACCCTGTACTTTACCAAGCATGATGTCCTTCTCCAGGGACTGATCCCTCCTGATAACATGTCCAAAGTATGTAAAACGTAATCTCGCCATCCTTGCTTCTATGGAGCATTCTGGTTGTTCTTCTTCCAAGACAGATTTGTGTGTTCTTTTGGCAGTCCACGGTATATTCAACATTTTTCACCAGCACCACTATTCAAAGGCGTCGTTTCTTCTTCGATCTTCCTTATTCATTGTCCAGCTTTTGCATGCATGTCGTGCGATTGAAAATACCATGGCTTGGGTCAGGCGCACCTTAGTCTTCCAGGTGACATCTTAGCTTTTCAACGGTCTTTCACAGCAGATTTGCCCAACACAATGTGTCTTTTGATCTCTTGACTTCTGCTTCCATGGGTATTGATTATGGATCCAAGTAAAATGAAATCTTTGAGAACTTCAATCTTTTCTCTGTTTATCATGATGTTGTTTATTGGTCCAGTTGTGAGGATTTTTGTTTTCTTTATGTTGAGGTGTAATCCATACTGAAGGCTGTTGTCTTTGATCTTCATCAGTAAGTGCTTCAAGTCCTCTTCACTTTCAGCAAGCAAGGTAGTGTCATCTGCATATCACAGGTTGTTAATGAGTCTTCCTCCAATCCTGATGCCCTGTTCTTCTTCATATAGTCCAGCTTCTCAGATTAGTTTCTCAGTATACAGATTGAATAGGTATGGTGAAAGGACACGACCGTGACACACACCTTTCCTGTCTTTAAACCACGCAGTATCCCCTTGTTCTGTCCGAGCAACTGCCTCTTGTTCTATGTACCTCATGAGCACAACTAAGTGTTCTGGAATTCCCATTCTTTGCAATGTTATCCATAATTTGTTATGATCCACACAGTCGAATGCCTTTGCAGAGTCAATAAGACACAGGTAAACATTTTTCTGGTTTTCTCTACTTTAGCCAGGATCCATCTGACATCAGCAATGATATCCCCGGTTCCATGTCCACTTCTAAATCTGGCCTGAATTTTTGGCAGTTCCCTGTCGATATACTGCTGCAGCCACTTTTGGATGATCTTCAGCAAAATTTTACTTGCTTGTGATATTAATGATATTGTTCGTGAATTTCTGCATTCAGTTGGGTCACCTTTCTTGGGAATAGGCATAAATATAA